GAAATTGGACGATCTAACGCCACTTTTCCTCAATGGTGTGGTCATTCTATTTGGGACGGAGGTGGAATTTCTTGGCATTATCCTTGATGAAAGACTCACCTGGAACGCTCACTTGGAAAAAGTTTTACACAAAGCCAGACTGTCTCTATCGTTATGTCGAAGGATTTGTGGTAAAACTTGAGGTTCAGGTCCCAAACAAATCCACAGGATTTATGTGATGATTGTCAGACCAATCATCACTTATGGTGTAATTGCCTGATGGCTGAAGGCTTTACAGAAAACGGCCCAAACGAAGCTCTCTGGTTCACAGAGACAGGCTTTGGCTATCAGTGGTGCCATCAGTACCACATCGTCAGAAGACCAAACATGGAACGGGAGCTGGAATATACCGAGCGGATAGAAATCTAAACTACAGCTATCCGCTAGGACTATACACATCTGTCTTTCAAGCGGAAGTGTATGCTATCTTGCAGTATGGAAGGCTTATTGAATTGAGACCTCAAAGAAATGAGCGGATCAATGTTTTTACAGACAGCGAGAGCGCACTAGGGGCTCTGACAAACCCGAAGGTGACATCAAAACTGGTCTGGAAATGCCATGAAGAACTGAATGAACTTGCAAACAGGAACCAAATTACCTTTGTACTGGGTGCCAGGGCATTCAGGAATCACAAATAATGATAAAGCGGATGAATACGCTAGACGCGGATCATCAACTTCATATATAGGTCCTGAACCAGCTCTGGGGGTACCAAAATCATTGGTACGAAACCAGATTAGGACATGGACCAATAAGAAGCACACAGAGTACTGGACAAAAGTACCTGGCAATAAACCGCTTAGAGGACACCTGAAAAAAATGTGGCTGTACAACGGAGACCTCAGCTGCAACTGAGGGATAGAAGCAGCTCTACACATATTATGCGAATGTGAGGCACTAAATCACAGGAGGCAGGCAATATATGGACGTACAAAACTACGCCCAGAAGAGTATGACGAACATGACTGATGGAATGGGTGTCATGAGAAGATGGGAGAATAAACGCAATAAGCTCAAGAGGCTGCAGTGTTTTCTGGAGACTTGGACTCAATGGACAAGTTAGACAGCTCCCAAGGTACAAAAAAAACCACACCGTCAGAGGTCATGGGGATCCTTCTAGATCTACCTTCTCTCCACATTTTTCTTAAGAGAGGCTAGATGGACTGCATACAGACTTGTGCGCATTGCCAATTGCACAAATCAATTAAATGCAAAGTGCAACAGACTGTTGGTTGACACTGGGAGTCACAGCATTCTGGAAATGACCTCTAATATTATGTTTCCAACTGTCGGCTACGAACTGCCTTATGAAGTACTATTCCCGAGTAGAGAGGACTGGATCCACTGGGAGAAGGAAATATTAAGAGAGCAGATAGTTGTTGGTTCACAGCTGGATCTAAAACACCTTCCAGTTCTGGTGTACGTGTTTTCAGTCGCAGACCCAAGACAGAGATATCTACCTGCCTAGGAACTGTTGCGACTGTATCTCAAGCGGAAATTTACGTATTGAATTGTGTGCGAAGAGAATGGATAAATCCAGATTTTAAACAGATTGAATAAATCCAACCTCACACACAAGTCAATGAGAATATTCTCAGTCAAATGGCATTGGTAGCTCTTGGCTCCTACCGAGCAACGTCTAAATTGGTAGTAAATTGCCAAAAACGACTCTCCTCGATAGGATGACTCAACATATTGTCTCTGATCTGGTTTCCGGGCCAAACTGGCCTGGAAGGCAATGATGCTGCTGACTTACTTGCGAAGGAAGGTGCTGCAAGCAGCTTCATAGGACCAGAACCAGAACTAGGCTTTGCCAAACAAACATTGAACACCTGGATGGCAAGAATATTTATAGACTTCTGGCAGAATCTCCCAAGATTGGCTCTCTCCAAGGCATTTATTAACCCTTCGAAGATTGATACCAGACAGTTGGTAGACTACAGTAGGGATGAACTACGATGTCTAACAGGCCTTCTTACAAGTCACTGTCATTTGAATCATCATATGCAGAGACTTGGACTGTCGGAAGACGTATCGCCTCTGTTTGGAAAATGATGAAACAGCAGAGCATATACTGTGTACCTGCCCTGCTGGGGACCGAATCAAGTTCTTAGTGTTCGGCACTCTCACCATCTGACCTGAAAGACCACTCACCATACAAACTAATCGGCTTCTTCAAGAAGCTGGGTTTATTTGTCCGAGTGTGAATAGGTGTGAGTCACAATAAACACTTGTGGGTTGCGGTGGAGGGTCGAATAGCCCCACTCACTTCATACCTAACCTAACCACAAAGATCTTTCCCTGTGGTAATCAGTATCTAGATTTTTGTTTATACGAAATTTCGACGTTGAACTGTAGTGTATGTTCTAACTTTACTTTTTTGTAGGTGTTTTTATATTCAAATTTTATATTTCTATACTTACGTTTGTATTTATTTTTCAGAAGCTTGGTCTACAAAATTTATTCTTGATGACAATAAAGTATATTATTATCATTATTATTATCCATAATTGTATTCACAGTTATCACTCGAAGATAATTGTGGATACTAACAATCGAAACATCGTGAAGTAACTTGGCTTGAAGAAATCTTTTAATTTTCATTTCCTTTTTCTGTTTAACTGTTCAGTTTTAAATTTTTTGCTTGGATGGAAGTCCGAATCAATGAAATTGACCATGAAATCACCTTCAAACGAATGATTTTCAATCTTTATGTTTATTATTCGATTGAGATGACAAGCTATTTTTGAGTTATCAAAAACCTAAAATCAATTATGTTTCGTCATTAAATTCAATTTCAGTTCAATAGTTGGCAACTTGTTCATCGATCCCTAAAATTAGATGCCACGGGGGTCACTTTACTATAAATTTAGCATGAATTTCCTCGCAGAGGCGTTATTGTCTATCAGTTGAAGAATTTAAATAATCGATATGGAAATACCACATGCTATTTTAGAATTTCACGACTAAATGTGAAATTTCACTGAAATCGATTTCGGAAATGAGTTTATTTCAACACTTTGATATCTTGGAAGACGGGAAAATGTATTCGCTTCTTTAACGATGTAGCTGCACTATTATTCACTGAGGAACTGCTTTCTTGATGGCATTTTATTATGCCTTATGTTCAATTATTCTTTAAAATTGATAATTAACTAATACTTTCTCATTAGTCAGTGGGCTATGCTTGAAGACGGGCAGTAAACAAATCTAAAGAAATGAACTTTAAATGTTCAAGCCAGTACTGTCTACTCGATGTATGTGGGTATTTCCCAAACTCAAGCATCACATCTAATTTGAGTTCTTCACTCATTGCATTGACAGCTTCTTTTTTTATCTACCCCACATGACCAAGCTCGCGAAACTGCTTCTCTATTTTGCTTATTGTTCCTTGACATATGATCGGTGATTTGGGAAATTTCTCATGAAATTGGCGAGCTACTTCCTGTTGTGTTATACATTTCCTTTAATCTAACCATTTGTCAGACTTGAAGTTAACAAACTTTATACTTAAATCAAAATACTGACAACTAATACTGTAACAAACAAAACAAGTTGACAGGACGTTTCAAACTAACTTTGCCACGGAAATTTTTTAAAGTTTTTTAAAGGATACCATCTAAAAAGATCATCGCTATATTTTTTGCTTACTTTCTTATTATCAATACCTCAACATGAAATAAGTTTCGAGTGTATTGCAATAAGTTTTCAGTGTATTTTATCGAATTTCGGTAACCACCTGACTTCAATTTACTTTATCTTAATTGTTGCAATAACTTGAAAGCGATAACATTTTTCAATATAAAATGAAGAGACCTTTTAAACGATATAGTACAAGCCTATACTTTCCATTTAAAAAATTGGAGGGTTGTACCTGTCATTCGGCGGGGTTTGAAGGAAGGGGTAGCATTTTTCCGTTGAAGTATGTCAAATTATAATTCAAATTTGACGTGTTTCGGGATTTTGTTGAAATATGTACCATAAACGAAATAATGAATTTATTCCATTTGGCTTTTACACACTGTATAGCAAAATAGCAACTTTTGAAAAAACATATTTTTTTTTATTTACGTTTTTTATCGACCTTCATTGGGAATCTCCTCTTCCCACAATCTGGAAAAAAAATTGTGATTAAGAACTGTGTACAGGTGTACAGTCCACCCCTGCGTATACTGCGTATTGTCAAAGTATTTCCCACAAGGAAAATGTTATAATCATCAGTAAATTGTATTCAACAATTTTGCCTTCAACAAAAAGTTATCTGAAAGTTTATCTGAAAGTTTCGAAAGCTATCTGTACCCGTCTTCAGAATTGAAAAAATTTGAAGTGACTTACAGTTTTTTCTGCGATTCGATTTATTATCAAACTTCTTCGATATATATATGAACTTTTCCATGACAATTTCCATTTGTTTCAGATTGCTGAAAGTTAAAATATTCAAAATGTTTAATGTTTTAGAGATAGCTAATTCTGAAATAACCAATTTCGATCCAAAACAATTTTTTTTTGGAATCATACAAACTATTTTTTACATGTACGGTATACAGGTATACAGGGAAAATTTAAAAAATGCAATTTTTCACGTTTCCAAATGTTTTTAGGTTTCTTTTTCCAAGAGTGAGTTTTTGTTTTTTTAACGCTATTATGGTACTAAACTCAAGGTTATCCACAACGCAGGTTTTCAGAATCACAGATTTTCAGTTAAACTACAATGGCACTTATGGAAAAGTAACATACTCAACCAGTTGAGATTTTGACACAGCCAATAAATTAACTTCAGAATCATAATCATTCAATAAAAAAATGGAATAATGAAATGGTGATCTACATGATATCCCACTCAATGATACTACAACAATCCAACTTCAGATGAGAGCTTTGAAAAAATAATATCTTTTCAATAGAACAGGTGATCACAAAAAAACAAGCACAAGCATGGAAAAAAGTATGAAGTATACTACCTTGGATGCGCAGAAACAACATTCAAATTCACTGGGGATTTCTTCTATTTTTTCAACTTTGTCAGTCTTCTTGAGGGTATCAGATTTTTTACTTTCAGCCTATGACAGAAACAAATAGTTTTTGTTAAACGATAGCTAAACTCTGGGGTTCGAAAAGGAATACCTGGACTATATTTTTGTATATTAGTGGTCTGAATCGTTTTTAACTTTCATTATTCATTCCTGTTTGTATGAGCGTAAATTTGGATTTGTCCTGGAACACCGCATTTCATATATTCATTTGTTTCATCTATATCTCTTCAACCGAGAATGGGATATTTCTGTGTCAATTCTTACCCACCTTTATCTCTTAAGCGTTAATTTCAATAATAATTCAACATTCTATATAGCTATTTTCCATTATTTTCATTTACGTAGTTTGATGTGGTGAAATTATTTTTTTGAAAATACTTCAATGGACAGTTTTTCAATAAATTGATCAATGTTATGATTGTATAATATTTTGATTATCATATATTCGATTTTGAAATTCGGCAAATATAATCAAAACGCTTATGTGTAGGAGTTTAGTGGGTCTACGTATGATATTGATTTTTTTGAAAAATGCATCTTTCGGACATAACACTCAGTATATCTATCAAATGTTGCACTAACATTTATGAATATTATTGCATAGATGGTGGTCACCAGATTTGGATCATATGGATTACTTGTGAAGATATTTCAAAACTATTGTTTGAACAATGATGGTGATGTATGATAACAAAAGATAATTGAGACTAAAATGATGGATTTCAATCCGAAGCAGCAACTGCTTAAACGGATGAATGGAATACTGAATGAAATATCAAGAAACGATGATAATTTTCATGATGTTCCAATTTTGACCAGACATTCGAAATACTGAAAAGGCATCATTTGTGTCTCATCAAATTTTTATCAGAAACAGTTACTCCTACCCGAAAGCACCAAACGTACTTTCTTGCATACAAATGGATATGCTTTCTGAAAACTTTCACGAAAAAAAAGTTTTCACATATAGTCAGTGGACATACTTGAACACTGGCGATAAATCAAATCATCTAAAGAAACAATTCATTCAGGCCAGTCTCAACTCCCTACACTGTAGATTAATGAACTGAAACCTCCCCTGGCTAATACCACGAAGGGCGTTGGGTTATATCCGGCAGGTGTCAGTGCAGGATTCTTCACTGAAGTTATTCCTGCATATGAATATGTTGCGTATCTCTACGCTAGCTTGGCTGAATACATTGTTGGACAACATGTATGTGGCTTCTTTGAATTTCCTCCTAAACTAATGTTCCTCCCTGTGTATGATTTCAGCTTGGGACCACACGATGTTATGTTGATGGGTTCAAACATGCTCTGCTATTCCTGATTTGCTGGTTTCCCCTCGCTGTTTTCCTTGTGCTCGGCAATGCGAACATTCAATGGCCTCTTAGTTTCACCGATATAGGATTTTCCGCACTGACAGGGTATACAGTAAATTCAATTCTTGGAATCGCAGTCCGCGTTTGATGGCCTGGTTTTCGTGAGGCTGCTACGATAGTGTTTCCGGATCTGAAGTAGGTTGATGATGTCTAGTTCCTTCTCGAGACCTTTCTTCGTATTACGAAGCCCAAAATCACGGTTTAATAGAGTCTTGATGATTTCTCTTTCACTCGATTGATAATGTTGGATTCGTTGTTCAGATACTGTCCCGTGTGAGTGGGTTTTCGGTATGAAGATGTTTTCCATTCAGTGTCGGTCCTCTTCACCAATACGTCTAAGAATGGCAATTCAGACAATGGAAGTCCGAACAAATGAAATTCATCATGAAACATCGTAGATCCCCTTCAAACAAATATATACCAGTACATCTTTAAAGGACTTGAGTGTATTTAAACAAGATCAATTCATAGATTTGAGAACCATATTCAAAACAAATTCGGAAAAACATTTACCATCTCATTTTCAATGAGAACAATTTCATTAGGAATATTTTTGTTACAGGAAAAATCAAATCAAACGAGGTGGAATAGATACTATTTGTATGAAGAGAAAAATTTCAATATACTATTATATGTATGAAAGAACAATATTTTCAATTGTGTACGTACATATTCAGAACACGAACAACGTAGAATTCTGAAGACTATATAGAGGAGAGATGCATAAGTGTATAAGAAAATAAATATTGCACAATAAAATCTGAAAATATTCATCTCCCCCGAATTATGAGTATAGAGGGTTCTGGTAAATGCCTACCGTAAAACAACTACTTTCCCGGCTAACACTACGATAGGTATTTAATTATATCCAACAGGCATGAAATGTTTTTCCACGTTACTCGTGGCAGTTACTACATGCTTTCATATGATCCAGTCATCTTAGTTAAAATTAGTTAAGTATTTCGGAATTGAAGTTACCCAGCTATAATCTGCTATGAACTTGTATTTCGTCATCCCCAAAGTTGTCTCAAAACCTAAATTTGCTAGAATATACGCCTCGATTTGCAGGCATCTCGTTTTCTATGGGTTTTTTGCTATTTATTTATGTTCGTTATCGATATTGTAGAGGATTGAATTCTCTACAGCTTTTTTTTCAGATATTTTTTTCATGTTGAATAGTTTTCGAGATAGCGAGCGGAGAGCACGCGGTTAGAGCATAATTTAAAGTCAACCGGTAGTCTCGGTCAAAAGCACGCCATATAAAGTATAATAATTATGATGATTATGATTTCCTACTACGTAGTAACGGCTAGATCCACCAATTTATAGTTTAATAATTATTGATAAATACTTAATTATCAACTATTAACGTGTCGAGGTGTAAAAATAACGATTTGGTGTTGGGAAAAAACTCCAGTGATATTCATTACTACACCAAAGGTTCCAAACAGTATATCACAAGTACATTATGCCTAAAAAGTTAATAACTACTGCTGACGTAATCACCATCTAGACCCCCCCGTCACCCCGCCAAATATAAGCAAAGCAATGATCCACCTATAGTGAAAGGTCCCTTAAATGATGCGTAATCTCTTTTCTACGCCACCGACTCAGATTCTAAAAAGTTTAGCTATTTCAAATAATATGAAACTTAGCAAAAACACTGGCGTACAATGATTGTTACCATAAACATCTATCAAGTAATCCTCTGCAACACCACTGGAATTAAAATTCCTAATTTAATTTCATGCAAAGAAGCTCAAAACAAACACACGTAGTTCATTCAAAATCGGCGAGTTATTTATAAAAGAATAATTGTTTTAGTTACCGCGTTACTTGCAAACGAAGAAAGTTAGAACATACATTCATATGAACTTTTTTCTATAAAAAATGATCACTAATCACCACCTGAAGTCAATGATATCATTCAAGATATACCCTGTATATTAATTGTAATCATTAGTTTGTTGAGTACATATTATTATATGAATAAATTTAGTAAACAACTTCCATTAAATCAATCGATTTTCAATCTGGAGAAGATTCCTTTCCCACTCAGACATATTGAAAATCTGTCCACATTTTGCTATTGGCACTTGATATGGGCTATCGGAATATATCCATGAATCTTTTATACAGGGTGTCATCAGACTTGGGCCACTCCCATCTTTGAATTTTTAAATACGGACCTGTATTTTTTGTTGTAGTTTTTGGATCGTAGACGTTCACTTCATACTGGGGAATTGAATTGTATATTTCGTGATTTTTCGGTAATATTCGAGTATAATTGTGTGAATTATTCCCTTTTAAATTACAGCCCTGGAAATAGGCTGACTGAGTTGAATAAAAACACAATAGCAAATTTCACGTCTCCCAGTATACCGTATAGTTTTTCGAGTGTTTTTTTTTTCATTTTTAGGTACCTATTCATATTTTTTCCATTGCTCAGCGTTTTCTACAATGAACTTCGAATAGGAAAACTTTTTATGATTACCTGAAACATATCTAGGTACAACAAAAATATATTATATGTGTTTTGATGAGCAGAAAAAAATGGTAGCAATAATAACATACGAAACGAACACTATAATTATAATGAAAATTGAAATGAAATAAATAATTTATATAGACAAAAAAATAATTATGCAATAAATATTCGAATTGGAGTCCTTCCATTTCGAGANATGATTTTTGATAGGATGCTTTGTTTCAAATATACAGAGCGAAAAAGAATTTCGACAATAACAATTTATCATCAAAAATTAGATGTAATATGTCTTTATCTACAAGAACTGTTCAAAATTACTACCCCTTCTCTCGGATACAAGAATCCAATCTCCTCCCCATCGACTCCTCCCGAACTCTTTTAAAAATACCAGGATCGTTTCGAATTGCGTTACACCCAGCAATTATCCGATTTCTCAAATCATTCACATCTTCCAATGGAGTAGTATAAACTAACGCCTTTAGATTTTGTATTACTTGTTAAGTCCAGTGTAGTACGGTATACTTTTATTTCGACTTCGAATCAAAGCGCCCTATCGAAAATTATTAGGGGACAAAATGCCCTTAGAAAAGTCCAAGGAAGAGTCCCTTAATTTTTTTTCGCATGTTCAATAAACACCCTGTATGAATCTGCAGACCCCGGTCAACATATCTGGCATGTAGCTTCAACATCTGTGAAGGCTCAATTCTTTAATATAATAAATGTTTGATACGAAAAAAGTACTCACTGTTGGTGAAATGCACTCCTTTGGCGTGCTGGGGATCAACTGGGTCTCATCCTGTGCCAGAGGAGCCACGGCCGTCTGCGGCTGGAACTGCTGCTCGTCCGCCGGGATTAGCCCCAGCAGCCGCCTCTGGGAGGAAGGGGAACCAGGAGGACCTTCGTTCGTTGGAAGACAAGGCAGAGTGGAAGAGTTACTGCGTCGATGTCGGTTCGGAAAATGTTCAAAATTTCGATAACACCCCGTGCCGGTCTGCGCTGGGTTTCGACCCCCCGCGATCGACTCCCCTTCAGTACTGTTGCCGTCGGCGTGCGACATATTGTGCCCTATCGACACAGAGTCGTCAGCTTAGACGTCGCGCCATGCAAGTTGGCCGTGCACGTTACAGTCAGAAACGAAGAAAGCTTTTAGGAAACTGAAAGGACGGTCGTGTGCAAGAGTGCGCTGAATGTTTTTTTTGTTTAATGCGGATCAACTCAACAGAAGCGAACAACATGCGTCTTCGAGAACGAACAAGGAACTTAGGAATTTCTGCGGTTGTCTTCGTTTTCACCGATAAGGGCGCACTTTTCACCTGTTGAGAAGACAGCGTCTTAGCACAGGTGTAAAACAAAGACTTGCAAACTAGAACTAGGGCAGTTTTCAGATATTTATGTTTGATAGTATCGGAGTTTAGATGTCTTGTGCTTTTCCGATAATGTTTTTTTTAATATCAATAGCAGAGAAAACTTTAGTTGAATTTCTGAGATTGCGAAATGTTAAAAGCATTTCACTAACGGTGAAAAATACGATGTTGGTTTGATTTAACGAAAAAGTGTACTTTTCAGGATACAGTTGAATCACGGTGAGAAATCCAAACTATCGTGAGGCGTCCTCGAAATAACCGAGACAAATTGAAATCGTTAATTCTGATTATACTACTCTGGTACCTTATTCATAATACATATCGAGTGGTCCAACGAAAAGTATGCACCTTGCTTTTCTCCTTTTTTTGTTACTTAACGCAAAAATGCTCGGACAGGTCAATTTTGCTTTTGAGGGGGACACATTTTAGATGTATTTTTCTACCTGTGCCTTTAACTCCCTAGCCAGGGTGAGTAACAACCCTAAAATTTTAAATGGAAAGTGGGGTCGAATGATATATCATTTGAAAGGGCATAAAATNTTACAGCAGAAGAGTGCAGAAGTATAACACCTGATATGCTACAGAATGTTAGGAATAGATTTGAACAAAATCTGTATAATTGTATGGAAGCAAATGGGTCACATTTTCAGCACTTGCTGAAGTAGGATTCCACTAAGTCAATTACACATTTCAAAGTACTGGGTTGTAGTTGTTTGTCTTCATAATACCTACATGTTTGAGTGAAATACAACAAATTAGGTTGCATTGGAAAGATAATTTTATGCCCTTTCAAATGATATATCACCCTCGCTACTCACCCTCGCTAGGGGGTTGAAGGCACAGGTAGAAAAATACATCTAAAATGTGTTCCCCTCAAAAGCAAAATTGGCCTGTCCGAGCATTTTTGCGTTAAGTTACAAAAAATGGAGAAAAGCAAGGTGCATACTTTTCGTTGGACCACTCTGTATGAGAGGATGTACATATATTTTTGATCGAACCTCATTTGGAGCCACCCTCATCAATTTTATTTGAATACGGACCTGTCTTTTTCAACAAATTATGATGCCTGTCTCAATCCTGCATTTACTTCTGTACCACTTACAACTTTTCTACGACGTTTCACTTCGAAAAATATCATCATAACTGAGTTGATTGTATTTGAAATTTATTATTTGAGTGAGTACTTGATTTGTATAACCAAGTGAAAAATTGAATTAGCCGCCCTCATTACACAACACAACAAAGTTTTTGTTTCGGGGTTGAAATTAGATGATTTTAATGTATTTCCACGTGTTAAAACCGAAAGTGACCATAAAAATTATATATTAGCTCTTGTTTTCAAGATATAGTATCATTATATTATATATATGTATATTGAGTTTTCAACAAATGAAATATTTCATCACCAACAGTTGGTACACATGTTTGTTTACATAACACCCCTCTCATCAGCTGTTCTTAAGTAGTAAACATAACCTATGTGAGTTTGTCAATTGTACGCACGTGGTTGCTATTGAAATTATCGTGTGAAGTTGATTTTTAAATTAATTTAAGTGCTGATCTGAAATGCCTCGAAAGTGTGTGAATTCTGTCGATAGCTTTTGCTATATATGTGGTGAAATAACATTTAAGGCTCAGAAACG